ACCCATCCCCATTATCTTCTTTATTTCTTAAGGATCTACCCTAAGAATCATCTATCATTCACTCATTCATTCCTAAAGATTCTTCTAAGGAATAAGCGCGAAGTCCATCGTTGCCTATGGCACAGCTGCCAATGTTATCTATTAGGCACAACTGCCAATATTATCATTTAGGCGCAATTGCCAGGATTATGACGTTCTCTATTAGGCGTAGCTCACGATATTATCATTTAGGCGCAACTGCCAGGGTTATGATGTTCTCTATTAGGCGCAAGTGCCAATATTAGGCGCAGCTACCAAGATTATGATGTTCTCTATTAGGCACAATTGCCGATATTATCCTTTAGGAGCAGCTGCTAGGATGTTTAGAGTACATCGTAGTTCAAAAACATCTATAGGTTGTAGCACAACGGCCAATGTTCATCTATAGGGGACACTAAGTCTATAGCTGCCAATGTTCATCTATATCAGCTTTCATCCTTCACCATTCATCTACCCATCTTTACCCAATATTTTTATAGGTATAAAATACATATATAGTTTACATCAAATACAACATAAATATCAAGAAAACAGATAATATGCACACATAGCACACAATTTATATTAAATACTTCATATCTATGTATAAGATGAAAGTAACTATGCACTCATTTGTTAAAGTGATGATTCCAAACTCGGGCAGCGCTTCGCTTCTAACAATTCTATTTTCCTTCGGCAAATCCTAGTATCATTACCGCTAGATTTTAGTCTAATATTTATAGCGACTATTTACGAGCGATATTGTTTTATGAGTGTTAAACAATACTTTTCAACAACTATGTACATACAGGGGCCAAACATGAAACACCGGACGGCAGGACCATTTTGGCATTATAGCACTTCTGAAATCCAATAACCCTATGCGGCCCTTCAAACCAGATTCCCCGTACCGCGAGTAGTTAAAAGATATTATAATGACACATTGTATATTATATTTTATAATATATTTATTGTTTATAAGTTCATAATAACGATATTGAACTTAAACATAAGCTATACTTGAAGTAGGGTAAGCATAACTCACTTACCGGGAGGTTTGGCTAGGAACCGGGCTCTGCGAGGGCAGAACTTCCGAGCCAAAAGCTATTCTTTTCGGAGCCTTCTGGTGCTCCGGGGCTTTCCTCTAGCAATTAGGAGTTACTAGGGCTTTGGGAGAAGTTTAGAGAGAAGTTAGAGAGAGAGAGAGAGAGAAAGGTTAAGGTGTGAGGAAAATGGGGTGCTCTCGCATCCTATTTGTAGGCTGGAAAATGGCTCAACTCGTCGAGTTTGAGCCTCCAACTCGTCGAGTTGGTGTCACATGTCACCATCTGGTGGCAAGGCGTGGGGAGAAAGCAATGGTCCAGATTAAGCCACGTCACCCCTTTCGCAGCAGCACCCTTCCGACTTCTAAATTTCGTAACTTTCGCATACGAGCTCCGTTTTTGACGTTCTTTATATCCACACGTAGGTATTGACAATATCTACAACTCTCCTTTTGACTTCATCGGATAATTCTCAACCGATTTTATATTTAACAATATGAGAAGATTACACTGTTAACGACCGTGTAAAGTTCATAACTTCTACATACGGACTCCGTTTTCGACTGTATTTTTATCGTTGAACTCCTATTGATGAGATATTCAATCCTCATTTAGGTTGTTTCGGCTAAAAATCGCTCGATCTAAAATTCGATTTCCGGGCTGTATACTGCTATGCGAAATCTTAGAAAAATCATAACTTCCTCATACGAAGTCAGATTTTGACGTTCTTTTTATGCACGCTCTTGATTTAACATATACTACAACTTTCATTTAGATATCTAAGTCTAAAAAGTAATTTATCAAAAATTCACTTTTTACGATTCCGAGTGTCGTGCCGGTTTTGCCGTAAAACTTTGACGGGTCATAACTTCTTCGTTATAACTTGAATTTCGGCGTTCTTTATATGTACGAAACCTTTGTGACCTATGCTATAAATTGGTTAAAATTATTTACTCTAAATAATATTCTATCAAAAAGTTATTTTTGACCCTTATTGTCTCTAAATTGACTAACCCGAATCTGCGGGCGTTACACTACTTCACGTTGTCTTTAAATATATCTTCTTTGTTTATGTTGCACAATGCTCGCTTCATGGTTGTTAATTTGTTGTTTTAGCATATTACGTACGATGATGATTGACTGTATTACGCTCCTGAGAGCATAAGAAGACAATGATGACGATGACGATGACATTTTTCTATAAAATGATGGAGGTTTTAAGAGTTGTCTTGTGATTTATGTGTGTTGAAATGTGAAGATTTATGTGTTTATTTATAGTGGTTGGAAGAAATTTTGAAAAATTGATTTTTTTTTAAAAAAAACAACTATATTTTTCAAAAAATGGGTATTTTTTTATAAAAAAATGGGTATTTTTTTATAAAAAAAATTGTAGTCAAATGGAATAAATGAGAAAGTCAGATCCCCAGCCACATAATCTATTTCTCTCTTCTCGTTATGCGCCTGGCGAGGCATGAGCCTCGTCAGGAGCAGTGTTCGACGATGGTGGTGTAGCCTGGCGTCTTCTGTGGTGAGGGCCACTCCTTGGAGCCTTAGACCATGTTTGGAGTGACGCACTAGCTGAAAGGACAGTTTATCAATAAACTATTTCAAGTTAGCTTATAAAGCCATTTTATAGAGTTATTGTCACTGTAGCCCAAAAATGTTTAGTATACTGGTTTAAATGGTCCCTCGTGATTTTTTTGCCTTTGAAGGTACGAACTTGTGTTTTACCGGTTAATTTGGTATCTTTACCCATTTTTGAAGGTTATAGTGCCTTGTCAACTGCCAATTAGGCAGCTGAGTCAACAATGACTCAGTGGTGAGTCGACTCATCGTTGCCACATAAGCCAAAACCTGATTGCCACGAAGATAGAACTAATCCATCAGTTTACATCTGGACGTGAGGGCTTACGAACAGTAACAATGGAGCTTCTTCTTCATCATTAACGCCATGTACTTCTCCTACGTTCTAATTCCAAAACCAGAATCCTGGAAAGTGTAGGTGAGAATCTCGATGTGGTGGTGGGTGTAAACAGAGAGAAAGGGGTGGCGGTGGTACTGGATTTTCCCGTGTGATGGTGGCAAGAAAGATGATGAAGTTGGTGGTGTGTGTTTGTGTGGGTTACCAGGTGTGTTTGTGTGGTATCTGATAGCAGCAAAAAGCACCATTGATTCACAACCTCCAAAAATCACAGCACCACTACCCCTTATTTGGGTACACATAAATCGATGGGTTTTTGGCGATCATCTTCAACTTCACGAGATATGGGTTTTGACGATAATTACGACGGCGACGAAGATGAAACAAATTTAGAAGATAAGAAGATTAGAGATGTTAATTAGGTGGTACCTTGGTCATCTTCGCCGTCTTCACCGACATCCAGTTCCCCGGGAGAAAAGAGTACTTTAGGATTTTAGAAACCGGTTTCAAGAAAACAATTTGATTTTCAAATTGATTTAAAGCAAACATCTTAGAAAAACGATTTCAGAAACTAATATCAAGCAAACATTTTGATTCAGAAAATCGATTTCATAAGCCGATTTCAAACAAACATGTTGATTCCAGAAACTGATTTCAAGAAACCTTTCGACTTAGAGAATCGATTTTAGAAATCGATTTCAAGTAAACATTTTGATTTCATAAACGAGTTCAGTTCTAATAGACAAAATTACTCATCATGATGGTTGGTGAACCCTCAAAGACGAAGATGACGATGGTTAGCAAACGAAAGGGGCGGCGAAATCGATTGGGGTTCGATTTCATCGAGGTAACATCAGTTTCATCTTCACCGGTCTTCATCTTCATTAGTTTCTCTCTCTAGATCTATTTAACAACTATTAAACAAGGGAAGAACTTGGTTTTTAACCAAAAGATTGATATGGGTTTTTGTTTGAACAAAAAAAACAATGACGAGTTTTCCTAACCCTGAAAAAAGAAGGATTGCATCCCATCCACACTAAGCCTTCAATCGATCTTCATCATACCAAACTCTATGCTTGGTGTTCGATTCTACCGGAGTCAACATCAGGGCCACCGTCGGAGCCGAAGAAGACAACGGCGGAGCCGGAGAAGACAGCATCGGAGTAGGTGAAGATGAAAGACAGTTAGGGATTTGATCGGATTCAGGTTCTATAGAAAGCATTACATTAGGTGTTACACGTGACAATTGAGTTGACATCTAAACCTGCTGATTAGGATGTGTGTCACTGGGTGACCCCTTCAAATTTTCCAAAATGACATTTTAAAACCTAAAAATACAAGTTCGTGCCATTCAAATGCAAAAAAATAGTCACGGGGGACCATTCAAACTAATATACTAAAGTTTGTTGGGCTACAATGAGAATAACCCCCATTTTATAAGTGACGATAAACTATTTTTATAGTCTTAACAAACGCTAAATTACGATAAGTTAATTTATTTATGTAGAGTCTTAAGCTCATAGTCTCAAACAAAAATGAAATATATATATTTTTAAAATAAAAACTAATAAATCTTAAATCTTTTTGTCTAACATACTTGTAATCCAAAAGTTAATTTATATAGATTTTAAAAGATATTAATTTTTATGTAATTTTGACCAACTACATTTATCAAACTTACCGATAACCTCAACTAAGTTTTTCAAACCTATATGCTTATGATCAAAGTTTTCTAACATCTCTAAATCGAACTCAAACCAAACTTATTTATTCCGTCGTTCAATAAACAAATCAAACTTATTTATTAAGTTAATTTTAGTAAATATTCTTGTGGTTGATATTGATCAGCCCAGAAGTCAAAAAAATCCATTAAAGCAATGTCCAGACCAAATGATTAGGCTTATAGCTTTTATGGTCAAATATGCTTTGCAGGCTGCAAACATCGTCGCCTCTCAAAAGAGAATCGTGCGAGGATACTACTAATTACTGATCTGGAAAACAAAAATCTTAAAAATTATACCTTTTACACTTTCTCTAATAGTACATTAAAAATAAGCTATTTTTATGAAAGATTCTGGAACCCATATCCATAATCAAACTTTTCTTTTCCGATCTATATACACAAATCTTCAAAATCTAATGCTTTTGGACCAAAATGGTGTGTTGCATATCTGTACAACTTCACCTTTCGCAAAAGCACCTATCATGATCATCATCTTTAATACATTCCTAACTGCTATTCTGAAGATCAGAACATGCGTAAATCTTTTAATAAATCATAAATAAAGAATCAGAAAAGCTTCAGACCAAATCTAGTCCGGTCTGAAGCTTTTCTACACTATAAATCCATCAGCCGCAAATCGCCTCCACAGATAACTTCTTCATCACACTCGGACACGGATCGCCTCCAAAATTCTCCGGCGTAACCGCCACCGCACATGATTCTTGCCCTATGCAAAGCTGCAAAACAAAATAACCAAATAATAATGTGATTCTTTTTTTTTTTTTTTTTTTTTGCGAAATAACATCATAGTCAATATTAGAAAACAATTAAAATTTCAACTTTTTTGAAATTGGTCTTTATGCATTGCAAAGCACGAGTACCTTATTAAAGGTGTCGTAGGAGTCATGGGCATGGCAACCACCCTCTCGGAAGCTACCACAACCACCTTCCGGGGTGCCAAAGCTAGCAAACTTGATGGAGGAAATTTTCTGACCCGGGTTGCACGAAAGATGTGCCTTCGGTCTCAATGGCTTCGTGGCGTTTCCAGAAACTTGCATCTGGTAATTCTTCAACGATGGTTGCCATTCATAGATATCCGCACACACACTGTATATTTCACGTTTCACTAATGATATCCCGTATGGGATTCCTCCCAATTCTTCAAAAACAACCAATAGGTTTCCTCTAGGCTTTAGCCAAGATCGAGGTACATGATACCTGAAACAAAAAATCTCATGTCACAACAGTAACCAGTAGACAGTAGACAGTAAACAATAGAAATGTTCGCACCATCTCTGTGAAGCTTCACCGCAATTGCTAAGGCATTTTTTCTCGTCAAAATAACCGGCATAATTACAAGTGGAACAAGAGCCAATCGCCTTGTAAGCAGGCCAATAACGACCAATGCTTTGTCCGTTGACCCAAACTTGACCTTTCCCCATGCTGTTCATGTCTAATGCTAAAGGTTCATCACCATCCGGAGCATCGAAATTTGTCTAAATAATGAAATGAAAAAAGAAAATGTAAATTTGTCTTCCATTAATCATAGATAAATTTAAAGTTTACTAGGAAAATTCTATACCTTGTACCATGCTAGTGGTTGTTTTTGGGCGACTAAAGAACCTTGAACCCATTCAACAGATGAACTACCACCGAGTGAGTGAAGACTTAAAATTTCGCCTTTAAGCCCGATTTTATAAGACCATTTCTGCCATGATAAGTCTCTCTTCCCTTCGTTTAGACCTGAAATCATCACCGGACCCAAAACACCTGCGTTCCATGTCTCGAAATGTGGTCCAATGTTCTTGTAGTTGTAGATCAATGAAAACAAAACGTGAGTTTACAAAAAAAAAAAATAAAGAAAATTTAATGAAATTAGATTCTAGAACATACCGGAAGACCAACGGCAATACTTAAAAGCGAAATCTTGTTAATACCAGCTCTTAGATTTACAACATTATTGAAAGTTATTTTAGGGTTTTCTAGACTTCCATACACAGTTCCTGTTAAAATCAAAAGTAACGAAGATTATATTACTAAACTCTGCATGCAATCTGCATCTTTCCCAATTAAGAAACGTCTTGAAAGATCGTAAAAGTTCAACCTGAAAGTTGACCGTTGATGAAAACGTGCAAAGCGTGACCGGCGGATAAGGCGGTGAACGTCGGCTGTTTTCCGTTTCTCAAGAACCCTTCGTCGGAGTCAATTTTGACACTGACAACGTCAAAAAAAAGTCAAAAACCATAAAATATCGTAGGTTTGTTTCAGATACGAGAAGAAAGATCGTGTTGCACTTACTCAGTCATGTACCATAAATAATCAGAAGAATCTCGAGTTACATTCAATTGCTCCAATAATCCAATCGTTCCAAACGTATTATCATCGTAATATTCCGTCTCATCGTTATACGATTGCCAAGCAAATCCAATCGGCTCTCGTGTCATTTTCATCAATGTCGTCTGCGCTCCCACCTGTTGATTGATTGGTCCCATTCCACTTTAGATTTTTTACATAACAAATTAAGCTTCAAAAATATGATATCTTTCTCACCCGTGCTGTATTGTAAACAGTGTTCTTGCAATCGGGAAGGATGCTAACGGACCATGGAGGCAGATTGTAATGCTGATTATGGAAATTAACTTTTGCGTAAGCAGATTTGTCGTCGTTTGCAAGGAAAGCAGCACAGTCTCCGGATTTGGTCTTGTAAACATATGCCTGTGGGAAAGACGATTAATCATGACTCATGATTGGAGGTTAATTAGGGTTTGAGATAGAGAAAAATCCGACCTTTTGATAGTTCCCTAGTGAGATAGCAGAAGATTCTCCATTTACTATAGCAGGTTCGCATAGTTTTATTGCTCTGTGTAAATCTTTTAAATGTCCCCATTTAGCTTCCCTTTTTAGTCCTACATATAGAAATGAAAGGAATAATCAAATTTCGAATCATATCCATTGTTGTCGGATGGAATGGAATAAGCAAAAGTAACAAAATGAAAGGAATCTGATTCCTTTAGACCCTATCAAACAGTTTCTTTATTCCAATGGAATTAATCATCCCATTCCATTATCAAACACTACACTACCTATGGGTACATTTTGTGACATGATCAAAGTCATCATAACATTGTGAAATGACATATATGACCCTCATTACAAATTCAAGATTACCAAATTCATCCAAAGGGGCATCGTAGTCATAGCTTGTTGCAACAAACGGACCACCTGCAGTCCTACCAAAATTTGTTCCTCCATGATACTGTCAAAATCCAAGAAACACAAGAAAATTTTAGTCCACATTGTCAATAATCATGTAAATTTATGAACAGAATTTGAGTTACCATGTAATAATTAATGAAAGATCCACCAGTTTGAATAAACTTAGCAACAGAAAACGCCAAATCTTCAGCTGGTCTATATGGAACTGCTCCTCCAAACTCAGTGAACCTTCATCAAAACAAGAATCTATAAAAAAAAATCCGGATAATATTATATTAAAGATTGTTTTAATTACTAAAATTACCATCCTGTCCATGCTTCGGTCCACATTTTGGGTTTGAAATATCTATTAGGAGTGAAGTAATCACAGTAAAAACCATTGCAAGTGTTGATCTGTCAAAACAAAAACTTTCTTGAAAATAAGAACACAAAAAATTTGGTGAATATTGTATTATAGGGGACAAAACAAAAAAGTGGCCATGTGCATTGTATAAAGAATCCAATATCATGAAATGATCACATTACATTAGGTGAATAAAGAATGATAAAAAGTCAATAACAAGATTAACAAAGTGACAAAAAGGAACATGAAAGATGCACTTACAATGGGATCCGGGGCATCATCTTGCTTGCACATGACCCATGGGACCCCAGTGTCCAAACCCACAGCCATTTGGGCTGCCCATTTTGAATAGGATCGGGCCGGGGCTCCATATTCATACTCCATTGGCCCATATTCGTTTTCAATCTGTCACATCACATGGACTTTTTGCTCAAAATCAAGACACAAAATGGGCAAATTGGGTAACGTGTGAAACGGGTTTGGCTCAAAATGAGTAAGTTTTGAAGATTTTATACTTTTATAAATAGTTAGTGTGCATTAAAAAGGATTGCAAAATTATAAATAAAAAAAAAAAAGTGAGTTTAGCAGTAGTTTTTATTTGTTTAGAAGTGTTTTGCAAAAGTAATGCTAGCTTTAAAAGGTGTAAAATTACCTGAGATAAAATGATTGGGCCACCTTGATTCTCATATAAATTTTCTGATTTCATCAAATTTACTATATAAGTTGTGAATTTTTCCATAGCAGCCTACAATAATACATAAATTACATTATCATAACGATAAAAAAAATGGGGAAAATAAGATAATTAAAGTGTATGAAAGATTGGGAAAGAGACCTTGAAAGGAGCATTATCTGTTCTAAAACTAATTCCTGGCACATACTTCAACCAAACAGGAAATCCCCTGAAGAAGCAATGACAAAAAAGATGGTGAATTTATAACCTTTTTGTGATTATAATTTATAATAGTATGAAGTTTTCGAAATGATAATATATATAATATAATAGATTAATACCCAAAGTTCCATTCAGCACAAGCGTAAGGGCCAATTCTGAGATGAGCATACAGTCCAGCTTCATGAATTAACTTAATGAACTTAACCAGATCATATCTTTCTTCAAAATAATACTGAAAGAAAACTCAAAGTTAAACATAAAATAATTAATTATTACAAAAAAATAAAATACACTTACTTTGCCAGGTTGTGGTTCATGCCCATTCCAGAAAACGTAAGTCTGAATCACATCCAGACCTCCTTCTTTAGCCTTCTGAATGAGATCTGGCCACATCTGATCATCAAAATGCACAGAAAAAGATTCAGAAAGAAAAAGTAATGATTTTGAGAAGAAAAATAAAAAGAAGAAGTGATGAAATGAAGTGCATTTATGAGTTGTACCTCGGGGGTACTTCGTGGGTAATGAATGGATCCAGAAATAAGAATCCTTCTTTCGCCATTAATGGCGATTGCTTTGTGATCATATGAAACAGACGCCGTACAGAAGCAACCCCATAGACCTAATAACACCACCAACACTAAATAAATCTTGTCCATTAAAAACCCTTCAATCACCAAAACTGTACGTCGCCTTCTTCTACTTCTTCTTCTTCTTCGGAGTGATATTCTTTACTCTTATCAGCAACTTCCCTCCACTTTATTCTGTTCTCTTTTCTTTTTTTCTTTTTTTAATTTAGGAATAAAGAATGGCACCAAAAAAACACACACTACAGCTGTGTTCTATTAATGGGGTTTATAGATTATAAAAAAAAGAAAAAGAAGTAATTATTGATTTATGTATATTTCTTCAAGGGGGAGTGTGTAAAGATTTTGCGAGAGAAGAAATGAGTGCTTTGGTCTTTGGGGGTGCTTTTTAGCAGGAAGGACTGATACTGGGCCGACTTTGTGGTTACATGTTTCCTATTCCCTCTAAAATATGTAAATACAATATTTTATTTAAGGAAAATGAATTTGTGATGCTATATATATATATATATATATATATATATATATATATATATATATATATATATATATATATTATTTTTTTATTTATTTTTACATGATATACCTTGATGTATGTTATTTATGAAATATAGCTTATAACCCGTGGGAACCACAATTACAAAATTAATTCAGTTTTTATAGCAAAAATTCATAATTAGTAATCAATTATTTTAAATAATAATTTTAAATAACCTATTAATTAAGAGACATACCAAAATTTTAAAGTTAGTTATAACTTCAAATTTAACATATAATTAAAAAAGTAAATGTTTCAATGAAAAGTTTAAAATCAATTATTTAAAACTTTAACGTTATTAAGTGTGATAGTAATTTGCCTAAAATATCACATTGACATATGACATAATATTAATGTGGAGTAGTATTAGAATGACACATGACAAAAGGAGATTAAAACTATTTTTTTATTAGTATAGGGATTATTTTAACCGACCATTGCACGTCTTAGCTGGTTTATTTGTTTAATAAGCATCACTAAACTTACATTCGTTTAAAGATTTTAGATTATTTTTTTGATGGTGGTGGAGATGTGTGACTCTGGTGGTGAATAATGCTGATGTTTGTTGTTAGAGATTAATGGTGTTGGTGCAAGGTGCAGTGACGAAGTTTGAAGTGTTGATTTTGGGACCGAAAATAGAATATGTATAAAAATTGAAGAACGGGAGAGGCCAAAGTCAAATTTTATAGTTTTAGGCATAATATGTAACTTTATTAAAAGTTAAGGAATAATTATAAAAAAAAAAGTGGCCCTATATATATAAGCTCCGCCAGTGGCAAGGTGGATGGTGTAGATGGTATTGGTCGGGGATATAACCAGGACATAGCTTAATGGTAAACCGCATACAAAAAGAGTTTAGTCCAACAACCCGGTCGAAATGGTAGGTTACGAACAATTATAATGAGTTTAATGCTAAATCATTTATAGAAATAAAAAAACGATTAAATATGTACAAAAGTAATAGTTTATTATTGGACGTCATAATCCTTTTTTAATGTTAAGAAAACAAGAAATGAATGTGTTTTTTTTCAGCAATAACTATTTTGACTTGCGGTAGAGGGGACTCATCTTTTCCAATCGTGCCAACCCGCTTACCACCTAATTTCTTTTAAAAACATATTAGAACATTTAATAAATAAAACTAAAAAAATAATAAACTCAAATCAATAAAACATTTTACTAAATACACCATTTCATTAAAACACACGTTACTACAAACGAAAATTTAAAATCTAAAAACAATAATTGAAATCCTAAAACGAAATATGGAGTTTGATTTTGTGGAAACGAACCATAACGAGGGGTAATCTTGAGAGAGTCCAAGTTGGTTATAAGATTGTTGAATCGGCATTTGTTGATGTTGGTGTTGATATTGTTCGTTTTGGATTTCGGTAATTAACCTTCGGTAATCTTACGAAACACCTCCGCCTCGATGGTTTCTTCTTTGAGTTGAACCCATTTTTTGGATTTCTCACGACCGGAATCCATCTGAAATTATAGAGATTGGAATGGAACCCGAGATAGTAGGAATGAAATTATAGAGTGTAGAAGGTTGGTATGATTTCTAAGTGACCGAGGATGATATTTATTGGGAAAAGAAATTAAAAATATAGTCATTCAACTGCTATTTCTTTGTGGGTTAAGAATGCCCACAATCCAGCCGAACCCTCACCATTTACAACCACACCTTCACGGTATGGTGGTACAACCACCGTTCACCCCATGTCGTACACCTTAACACCTTGTTTCCGAGTTCTACCTAAGGAGGGATATGGAGGGAATGTGAGGGATGTTGAATGAAAGTCGTGTTCCCGAGTTTAATTGATGGAAGGAAAATGAGGAGAATAAAAGGATTTTGGAGTCATATTTTACTTTCAAATTTTCCTCCCAAATTGAACGGGTTCCGGAAGAAAATTGTAATCTGTAAGTTTTATTTACTTTTTCTTGTAACTTAGGAACAAAAAAGCTTAAATTTATTCTTTTATTTTTTTCGAATTCGAGAACACGGAATAAAATTTTTTTTCATTCCCTCCATTTCTTTCTGTCAATATTTCATTTTCTTTTCTTGTATTGAATTTACTTAAAACTTAGAACAAGGCATAAGGGTGTTTGTGGTTTTACGGAAGTTGATTAAATTGTTTAAGGTTGGTCGGTGTGGGCAACGTTCACACGCGGCGTTTTAGATAAAAACAAAGAAACAACGTTAAACGAAGGTGGTGGTGGCAACGGGAAACAACGGCAGGCGTATAACACAGCCAAAAACGGTCAAGGGGGTCGATGTTTTTTGCGTTATAACACCCAAAAACGTCCATAAGACGTTGCTCATACCCAACACACTAATAAATATTAATTTTGCTTGGCCTAATCTAACCTTTTGTCATTGATTAAGAGCGAAACCGTGTCGACATGGTTAGTAAACCCCACATGTTTTTCTTTTATGAATTTTGATTTTTTCTTTTTTTAATTACTTTTTCTGTAATGCTTTCACCTCCTTCTTATCCCTTCTTTTACTTTTTACTGAGAGGCGAGAGCCCTTAATTTAGGGATGTTTGTAGACGCCTCATAATACTGAAGTAGATTAAACAAGATTAACTAGTTTTTCGGCTCGGTTTTTCAAAATTAACAAACTCCATAATTAATTTCTAAAATAAAGATAATCTTTCAACGTAATATTTCTAACATGTCAAGAAAAGAAATTTAAATCTTAAGTTTAAATAAACATTATCGATTAAAACTTAGAAAAAGTAAAATAATAAACGACGTCGACATCTTGTAGTTATGTATTTCAATAATCATATGATATCGTGAAAAAATGGTTCTTCTCTTTTTGATTGCTGCGAGTCTTTTGGGTGAATTATTGGATTGTGAGATGAGTACAATTTTAGTTTATTGGCCTCTGTCGTTTTTACATGTCGTATCGTAAAAATAACACTATACATCTATTATGTAAAGTTAAATTGATTATCATCTCGTGTTTTTCATACCTTCATCTATCACATCACACAATTTCATTTAGTTTTGTATTTTTTTTATATCATAATACACTACATTTTGAGCTGGATTTTGTAATATTTGTGTAAATTTTAAATATTTAAAATTTAAAAATTAAAAATTTATAATATATTTGAGCTTTACTAATATATTATACATGTTTGTTACATAATAAGAAGGGATATTAGCTAACCAACCAATATAAACGGGATTATTAACAAAACATAACTTTTATTTTTCGGGAGTTGAAAAGTAACCAACTTATTTAGAATGTAGCATTCCGGGCTACTTAAGGTTGTTTCGGAGTTGGTGGTTGTTGTGTGTGCCGTGTGGTATGATGTAAAGATATTCTGTAATCCGAGTACATTCCAAATTATCCGAGTACATTCCAAATTGATTTAGGTGTTATTTGGATTTTAAAAGGTAGAATGGATGCGGTCTGCAAACGTCTGTAGAAAAAGAAGTGGATTAAACGTTTGCAGTTTTCAAAAAGAAGATTTTTTTTAAAGTCCGCGGACTTTTAAAATAATATATTCTTTGACTTTCATATCTACAATATGTAGCATCTAATCATAATCATGAATTAGGACCAAGAAAAAAACAATTTATGAAAGTTACTTACAATAAAATTTGGTAAGTTTTATAATGTTAGAAAACATATAAAGTTTTCTATTCAAATGAGGTTGAAATATGAATAATGAATATGATGATAAAAATTAATAACATGTCAGGCTAATGAAATTGAAATACATTTACCAATCTTCTAAAGTCATTATTGGTGCCGTAAAATGTTTTACGTGTATCTTGAAAATTAGGAAAAACTAATTAGGAGTCGATACAAAGATTTAAAAACTAATAAATAATACATGTGGTTTTATTGAAACAAGTTTGGGTATAATTGTTGTCTATTTCATTTTGGTTTTCATAAATCATGGAATTTCTTTTGGATTTATGTTGCACAATTTGTATTAAGTTGGACTAAATTTGCCAAATTTCACACATTATTTTGGGTAAAATTGTTTAATAGTATAGTAGCGTTTGGTTTCCTCCTTTTTACATCCTTTTTACAATAAGCAACACACCGCCAGTGTTTTAAAAACCGGTTTGAACCGGCCGGTCGAATCGGTTGGACCGGAAAACGGAGGAGGGAGCGGTTCAACTATCACCGGTTTTACATTGATATCTAAACCGGATTGAACCGGCCGGTTTTTAGAAAAACCCAGTTGAACTGGTCAAAATAAACCGGTTGAACCGGTTAAACCGAATAAAAACAATGAAAAAAAACCATTTACATAATAAACTTTGGTGATTTTTTTCAAATCTATTTAGTTTTCTCTAAATAAAAACATATGACAAATGTTATAAAGTTTTTTTTATGTGTTTATATTCATCTAAAACTATATTTTGTTTCGGTATTATACTTTATTTTTCTTTTTAACATATATAGATTAATATAAAACACTAAAACTTATGGTTATGTGTTATTTTAGTGCATTTGGATTCATCTACAATTTTTTTTTTTTTTTGTGTATTTTTAATGTTTGAACTTGTAAACATCAAATTCATGATTTATATATGTATGTATGTATAGGAAAATAGAAAAAATAAAAGTTAAAAACATGAAAAATATAAAAACCGGTTCACACTGCGGTCGAACCGGTTGAAACCGGGAACCGGTCACCATACCGGTTCAACTTAAAAACCGGTTTTTAAAACATTGCACATCACCTCTTTCACGACATTTCATTAATGGGTTAATACCTTAAAAGTCATTATTTATACATCCTTGTTTCGATTTAACCCCAACTTTAATTTTCGTTTTTCATTTGTCACTATATTTTAGAAAACGTTTCATTTTCGGGCCCTTGACCGGTCACCTACAGGTCATGATGACGTGTCGGTTTTGTATTTTCCTCGGTTTGCATTAACCCCAACATTTATGTATAAATTTGCATTTAGCCCCAATATTTTTTGTTCCTCATTTGCCATTGTTTTTTAGAAAAAAAATCATTTTAGCCATTGGCCAGTCAATAGATATTTTAAAACGTAATAACTTAAAATGAAAAAAAAAAAACAGATGCAAGAGTTGAAATTGTGACTTCTCCTTGAGGGCGCGACGTGTTAGCTAGTAAATCAATGACCCTTTCTTTTGTATTATCTGTGTTTGTTGTAATTAATGTACACATTTATTTTAAAATGAAGGAAAAAAGCCGAGTGTAAGTCTTGAGTCTGAGACATCTAATAAACGATGTGACATGCTAATCTTTGAGCCAATCAATAATTTCCTTTCTTTGGTTTCTAAACAAATATGTCATTAAAACATTTGGTTTCTTAACAAATATGTCATTACAAATAATCAGTTGATTTTTTAGATGAGTTACGAATAAATTAACAATTTTGATTGACTCAAATATTAGCATGTCATATTGTTTATTAGATGTCACAGACTCAAGACTTAGGTGTTGTTTGTTTTTTTGAAGCAAAAAATCATAAAGTCTGCGGACCACCTCTGCAACCCTCTGTGGTAGAAGAGGTGGACCAAACGGCTGCAGACTGTAATAAGAAGCGTGTTTGTTTTTTAACATCTGCATGCTGCTGCAGATATTAAAAAATTAAAATAAACTGATTTTATAATCCGAAAATAGTTTTTTAATACCGAAAATTTAATAATGTATGACATTTCGGCAAGAATTTATAATATTTCAGCAAAAAATAATGATATTTTAACAAAAAATAAAGATATTTTAGCATAAAATAATGACATTTCATCAATAAATTATTATTATTTAATATAAAAACAAATTCAACAAGAATAAACAAAAAAAAACGAAAAAAAATGTGAAATAAGATTTCAGCAATATATAATCAATATTTTAGCAAGAAAAAAAGAAGAAGAAGAGGTTGGAAGAGGTAGGAAGATGCAAAACAAGTGCTGCGCCAAGAAGAACACGCGCAAAAGTTTTTTAATCTGAAGACTTCTGAAAAACAAACAGCTGCGAGATGAAAAGTGTTGCGCGTGTGCTGCGCCGCGCAGCAATAAGAGGTCTGAAGAAGTTTTTTCCAAAAAACAAACAGCACCTTACACTAGGTATTTTTCTTCATTTTAAAATACAGGTGTAGATTAAATACAACAAACATTGATAATACAAAAAAAAAGAGTCATTGGCTTACTAGGTAACACGCCTCGCCCTCAATGAGAAATCGTAGTTTCGACTCTTATCTCTGTTTTTTTTTCTTTTTTTCATTTTAAGTTATTACGTTTTAAAATACCTATTCGTGATTGACCAAGGGCTAAAATGATTTTTTTTTCTAAAAAACAATGGCAAACGGGGAACAAAAAATGTTGGTGCTAAACGCAAACTTATACGTAAATGTTGGGGCTAAATGCAAACTGAGAAAAATGCAAACAAACACATCATCATTACCTGTTGATGACCGGTCAAAGGCCCGAAAATGAAACATTTTCTAAAATATAATGGAAAATGAAGAACAAAAAA